CTTACTTGTATTATAAGATAAGTGAAAAATATTAGCTTAACGTAAAGTAAAACTTTATTCTCTTTTTGTAATAAAAGAAATATATAAACATATTTGTAATAATTATCTATATATGTACTGTGCATTTACGTCAACATAGAGGAGAAACAGCACATTTATTGTAGAGGAGAAACGCACATACGTTTATCTATACGCGTACACAACAAACTACATATAACACGTATTGTGTTGTATTACGTGTGCGTATATGTATTGCGTTGGTGCAGTATATCGTACATACGGGTGCTATACGCATATATGTTGTTATATACGTGTAGTAAACACAAAAAAATATAACACATCTTACACACTATACATATAACACATTGCCAGGACATCAAGAGCTTGTACAGATCTGGTGGATAGAGCTGGTCCCTTTTTCCAGGTATTTTGAACAAATAAAATACGTGAAATGTTTATTAAGAAGCAGTCTTAAAGAATTTATATTTTCTTAGTAAAAATAAAATTAATTTTATAAGAGTAAGAACTTCTAAGTTTTCTCCAGGCTCGGGAAAAATCCCCACCTTTTCCCTCTCGACGGCCTACACATCGCATGTACCAACAGAGCCTCCTACAGAATGAGATGAACCGAGTTATTTACAAAACGTGGGACCCTTCTCTCCGAAAAACATAAATGTATAAGAATAAAACAAGTAAGAATTATGAAAAGAAACCGTAATTTATATCACTTTAATATAAAAATTTAGTGAGAATGAGCTAAATGATCCTGTTGATTCCCCTCCATCTACCACACATATACAACTGGTTATACAGTAAAAACTGCATACAAACTTTTGGAAGAAACACCATTTGATACATTGTAAGATAATCATTATGCATCCATTATAGTTTTTTTTTTTTAAAATAAAATAATCTACATAACTGAATATAGTCAGTAGATAAATTAAGCAAATTATCCATAATAATTCGCAGGTATTAATTAAATATTAAACATTCTCTACTCATAAATGATTAATAGATTTGCATTAATCGGATCAGAAAAGATGACATAAGGATTAAATTTTGGGAGAATTAACTTTAATTATTGATTGTAAAGCTTTATTAGATTGCTCTCTGCTCTCCTAATGTTATAAATTTACTCTAACTTCTGACTTTTTGTAACTCTTCATTGCTTAATTAATTTTAAAAAATTCCCTATTCCTGATATATAATATGAAATGTCACCTCTAACAGGAATATATTTCCCTATAGTTGTAGAGAAATATCCCTATAAACAGGGATATTTCTCTAAAACTATAGGGAAAGTTTCAGAAAATATCCCTATTTTATAGGGAAAATTCCTTTGAATAGGGATATTTCCCTGATAATATCCTTAAGTTGAGGAAGTCGGATGTTAAGAGTAAATTTATGACTTTAAAAAAGCAGAATAAAGAAGCCGGGAAATATTTTTCCCGGCTTCATTTAATAAGAAAAATTTAAAAAATAATTTTTTCCCTAGGAATCAGCAAGTTTTAGAGTAATTTCCTGTATTTCAAACATCTAACTGTAATTACTTTAAGAATAACAATTAAACAATTAATAAAATAATTGTGATAAATATGAAATAAACAATTAAAAATGATTTAAATTTTAATAAATATTTAGCTCCATAAAATATTTTTTTTTTAAATTAAAATATAATAAACACATTAAAGAAAATATTTATTTTATTATTTATGAATTTAAAGATTATAATAATAATAATATCTTTATCCAATGTACAGAAATTCATCTACTNGTAAATGAATAATCATTGATTTTATTTTTTTATTATTTTTAAAAATTGGCATTTAAAAAAAACTTCCTAAAAATTTACGAAGAATTAAAATTAATTCTCTAAAAAGAAACAAATATAAAAACATTATTTTTTTAAATATATTCTTAAAAAAGATAAAATTATTAACGTTTTAAAGAAATTAATCGTTTCTCCTTAAAATAGAAGTAAAAAGAAATTTTACTTCAAAATTCACCGCTAGGGCGAAATTGGCGCTACTGACTGTCATATATACATATTGTGTACGTTTTCTAACGAATTTAGAGTAATGCCTACGCGACGAGTAAAGGAATTTTGGTCATTTTGTAACTCCTTTTATACCCGAAATCTGCCAGAAAACATACGTAATACTCACATTAAGGAGACAGCAGCACCAAATTTCGCTCTATCGGCAGAATTTCGAAGTAAAATTTTTTCCGAAAGTCGAAACCGTATACTCGGGAGTGCGTGTACCATATTTTGGTTCAGATTTGATCAATGGTTAATAAATACGCTGAACATTCACTCTCTAATTATGATCACGCTGTATACTTAAAATGTATGATACACATACAGACTGGCCCAAAAATCAGTTAACCCCTTTAAAGACTAAATTTCTGTCTTATTTAGATATTTTATTAATTACAAATTACAAAAAAAATTTTACAAATGAGATTTTTCCTCTTTAATATAGAAATTATAACGTTTTAATCAATTAAATTATATAGTTTTAATAACTTATTCGAGCGATTAGTACAGTTAACTAACTTTTGACTCATTGCTTACATATAATTATATGACTATGCAGACAATGAGCCATTATATGTAGCCTACTGTAATACAGCAGACCCTCGATTTAACGTATTTCGCAAATAGAGCAGGCTAAAAGGTTGGATCAATGAGTCGACGATGAGTTAATGAATTAATGAGTTATTTTATTCGTACTTAAATATTATATTAAGATTTCAATATATCATGTACAGTACATTATAAGTTCGTTATTAATACAGTCGAACCTCCAATAACGGCCACCTCTAAAGAAGGGACATGCCTTTTTGTATAACAAAATTGCATACAAAATAAATCGAGGTCGACTGTGAATACATATGCATCAAATAGAAAGAAATTTCGCTGATTTACATGATATTTTATAGTTTAATTAATTAATTATTTATTTATTTATTTTTTTAATTTTATATCTGTAATTACAGAATTCATTCATAATACTGTATAAAACTAATTTTATATATTAATTAAACGAGCGAAGGAATGCATTTTATTATCCCATTAAAATATTTATAAATGCAATAATATTTATTAGAGGAAAGCATTTAGGAGTAAAACTCCAAAACTATAATTATACTGATTAATTACCTATCCAAAATTGTATCAAGTGGAATAAGTGATCGAGACGGCGGACATTTCTGACCATTTTGGAATAAAATAAAGCGATTGTGCATTCCTACGACTGTTGTTAATATCCCAGAGGATTGCATTGTCACATGAAGCGTAGAGGAAGCCTAAGACCCAGAAATCATCTGTTAAGATCTCATAAGCATACATCATCCAACCCCTCTATTTGCATGTTTGCTTTGCTTCTACTCTTCTCATAAATTTACTCTGACGAATGGTATTAGACTAATGTTTAAATGATAACGTTACTACACTGTAGAATATTTAAAATTACACTTTATCGGTTATGTTAGTATTATATTCGTATAAATATACGATAGGGCTTTAATTTATCAACGGAATACCCCGATATTCTGACCCCTCTCTTATCCCTTACTAAAGAAGTATTATTTGTATAGTTTATTTAGTAAGGGATAGGGGCAAAAGAAAGGGGTTTGAAAGAAATTTTTACAAAATATCCAATATATATATATCAGGAAGTTTCAAAGATGTATAATATATGTTTAACTTTATTAAATATACGAAGTAGCATTGTTGCTTAATCCATTCTGTTGTCTGATATGTTGTTTAATGTGTGGTGTGCTGTTAGATACTTGAGGAAGTTCTGATTAAACATGCTAGAATGTTTAATACTAAAACTATATTTTTTTTTCTTTTAGTAAATAATTTTAAATATAATTAAACATTTTCTTAAATTTACTTAACGATACCTCCTCATGATACGCGATAAACACCTGTAAAATAAAATAACTTAAAAAGTAATCTAAGGTTAAATAGAAAAATTTGTTTAATATTTATATTTTTTCTAAGTATATATTCGCCTACACTAACAGTGTACTTGCTACACTGTGGAGTGTGCTCTTCTTCAATATCCACGCTTCAATAACTACACCAATCTGGCGAATAGGAGATAAATCACTTGTTAGATTGGAACGATGGATGATTAAATTCATATATAAACCATTTCATTTATCGATAATAAATTAAATGATGAAGTAAAAGGATAAATAGGTTGAAAAGATAGATACGACACTCGCAAATGACGAATGTCGTATCTATCTTTTCAACTTAACATTTTCATAATGGCGAGTGAACTTCTTCACTGACGACCACTGGAATTTATGGGCATCAATTTCTTATTTACGTTCACTTATAATTTAAGAAAATCAATGTCTTTACTTGATTGCTTGGACTTGGATCGCTAAAAAATTGATGCTCTTGAGAGCATCAATTTTTTAGCTGGTGTTCACTTGACCTCATGAGCATCCGTTTCTTACTTGATAATCACTGGACTTGAGAGCATCGATTTTTTAGCTGATGTTCACTTGACCTTGCGAGCATCAGTTTCTTAGTTGACGATCAGATTGGATTTGAGGCATCAATTTTTATTTTATTTAGTTTGCTTTGTATCTTGTCTCGAAATCTTTCAACTCAAATTTAACCTATTTATAATTAAGATGAAACTTACGACATACCTAAACTCCCTCCCCAACTTCCCCACTTTAAAATCCGATAAACATAACCAAATATAGAATTTATTCACGTGTGTGTTTGTCTGTAAACACATTGTAGTGATGTATATGGTGGGGTGGACCACCCATACTATTCCCCACCCCTAAACACGAAAAAAAAAACACAAAAACGCTTAAAATTATTTAACTGATGCTCACTTGACCATCAGTTTCTTAGCTGATAATCATTTGGAATTTATAATTACAAATTCGATACAAATAATTTTTGTTTCTAAACAGCTTGTATTCGTGATTTATATCTAGAACTATATGTTTCCACATACCTTCGAATGCATTCATTAATATGATCGTGGCTGATGATAATGTCAACAGCATACACCACGTGTGTTATCTGGTCTTTCTAGTTGATACAGAATATCGTTAATGAAGAGATTACACAGCATCGTCACCAAAATGGATTCTTATAGTTTCTACAATAAAAAAATAAAATAAAAATACATTAAATAACTGCGTTAAGTCTATATAAATACAAATATTTTAAAAAATTTAAGATAATATTTTTAAGGGAGTATTTGTTATAATATTAGCGCATTAAAAAATAAATGTGATTAATTTTATGTTGTAAATTATGAGCTTGGCAACAGTGCTTAACAATCTGGATAATGTGTGGCGCCATCTGTTGCACATAATTACACTTTTTTCGGTGTAATTCCTAGTGTATTTTTTTTAAGGTTCTTTCCTAATGAGATAATTGGCACATTTTTAATTAATTAAAATTCTTTAAAGATGTGGAAGAGATTATCTGTACATAAAATAAGAGAATGCAAATCTTTTTCTTCTTCTTTATAAAGATAAATCACTTCTAAAACACTCGTCGAGAGTCCCCGCTATCAATTCGATGCAGGAGTATTATTATTCAGAGCAACGCCATGCAAATTCTTAGTTATGGTGCCCTAATGGCTCCTCGCATCAGAATTTTTCTTTTAAAAGAAAAATTCGAATGTTTAATTAAGTCGTAAATATGAGTCCATTTGCATACGAACTATATTCCGTCTGTTCTGGACGACGTAGGCCTCCTGTGAGGACAGATAGGGTTAAAATGGGCGCTTTCTGTGTCACACCTCATTGGAACTGTCATTTCAAGCCACACTCCGTCCTCTGATAGCCTCATTATCTTTGATTTGGATCCTTTACCATCAATTAAATATGAATTAACATCGATTTCTTTTTAAATTATCAAACACTTTACCAAAATCTTTACGTAAGAAAGTTGCAGAAGTCTGCCTAAGAACACCATAAATTAATCTTTACTTCTTTAAATTAGAAATCCTGTGTTACGTCAGCTTATTTTTTTAGTGTTTTAAGTAATTTATTATACGGAGAGAAGTAGTTAAAATATAAAATTCTTCATCTATAATACGTCTGATTCATTATTTGTGCGTAGGCTCACTATACAACACATATTTAGTGATCTTGTGTAAGGGAGTAGCATTATAAAGGCCTATATGCCATGTGTTTTATGATCTTATTTAATGATTTTTGTAGATTAGCATCCACTTAATCCATAGACCTCTAAACACCAAGTCTTATAAAGAATGTAGATCTTTACATCCTCCCATAAAAAAAAAAATCTACTCACCTTAAGTTTTCCATTTTTAAGTCGCATCGCATTACCCGAACCTCTATTATATTTTAATTAATTATTATACAGTTAATTGAAATTTTTGAAACACTAATATTCTGTACTGTCAAAGCATTTAAGAAAGCGCACTGAGAGATAAGAACCACCTAATTTATTATGTGTTCTGCCATCTCATTGTCTGTAAATAGATACAAATTATGTTTTTTAAAAGCAGACAGACCATTAAATATTGGGGAGTTTATGCAGCTCTTAAGTTTCAACCAATTGATAACAAGTATGCTAATTTTTCTTTCAAGACAAGAAAGGAAGGAGGAGATTTAAAAAAAAAATTTTTTCACCTTTCATAACTTCGATAAATCTGCATTCATCATCCGCTTTACTTAATACAGACCGGATATAAGATCTGCATTAGACAAAACGTCTCTAAACTGCCTCGTTATAACGTTTATTACGCCATTATTATCTTCCAACATGATTTTTACTAGAGAAACTTTTTTCTTCCTACGTTGTAAAGAAGCAAATCTGTAATTTTAAAATCAGAAAAGTAAAGTCTTGATCTTGGATTTTTGTAAATCTTTATATAGAGAAAGCCTTCTTTATATACGGGATTTTTATAGCTAGATGCACGTTATAAAAGAGTAAGACGTCGACAGCTTTCTATACATTATTATTTTCGACACGTCTGATTTCATAGTTTGATGAAAGCTTCGAACTTTACGACTTTTTCTTAGGAAAAAAAAATAAAAAAATATTAAAAAAATAAAATTGAACTGTTTAGCAATTCATGATTTGAACAAAACTGTGCAGAGATTTGCCTCCCTTTTATGAATTGAGATTTAAGTGTTTGCCTTTAACGTCATAAAACTAGATAACTGCTACACTTTACCAGCTTCTGGATATGTGCATGGGTTCTTTTACATTATAAAACATGGCATAGGTAGTTCCTAAAAATGCTAACAAAGTAACAAAAATAGTGTTACACGAACAGTTGTTTATGGTGATAAAAGTATAAATAGAAGAATAACTTTCTGTGGTATATGATCGTACAGTTTAATTCTGTTGAAATTAAGGATTTAGATTAGCTTATCGCGTTGTCCAGTAAGCGATAACGCGTCGCAACGCAACAACAAAGCGAATAAATTGTAGAGCGCTTCTTTGAGATATTTAAAATTAAAATAATTACATGCAATCATTGAAAATTTAGAGTAATTACTGAATGTCTGCCTGTCACTCCTGTCACATACTTCTAAAATAATGGCGTCTTACAAGGGTAAGATGAGAGGATAAGTGTCCAGCGACCTGTGGTATCGAGGACCTTCACCATGGCTCGGAGACCCTATAATAAGGCCTCTGAAATCACATATCCTGTAGTAAGGCCTCTGATATCACAGATTCTATAGTAAGGCCTCTGATATCAGACCGTAAAGTGAAACCATTTAGATCATACACCCTATAGTAAAGCCTCTGAGACCGTAGTTTCCTTGGAGAAAGGCCCCAATGGAGCTTCGGTTGTAGGCCCTCATTACAGGATTTACAGTTGGAAAATTTTATTATTCAAATTTTGTCAGAACAAATCTACTAAAATGACTTTTTATTGAAAATAATAGCAAATCTTACTTATCTTTTTTAGAAGACATTCTAGAAATGAATTTTCTTCGTATCCTCCATTTTCGGACAGAATAGCGATTAAATTTTAATTATTTAACGGAGCATTCGAAAAATATCAATAAAAAAAAATATTGCTATAAATCAAATTTTATGAAAATTCATTGAAATTTTGAGAGCTGACAACGATAAAGAGTTATCTTAACGATAGCGATAATGCGTCATCGCTTGCGACTGATTACTATCGCTACTTAATTTCAAGAATTGCACGCCTCAAAACAATAACAGTTCTAATTCAAGTATTTTTTTTTTGGCTGTGATTATTGTTTTTAGAAAAAACATGACTGTTAAATGACGCGTTGGTTAAAGGCGATGCGACGAGTCATCTCGCATCATTGCAATACGAGTCATTTACAGCCCGTACGTCAGCGTGAAAACACTAGATTTTCCATAGTCCACTATTGCTCTTGAAGTTCCTACAGCAAAGTTATTAAAGATGGAGAAGAAAAACATTTGATTACCCTTCCTTCCTGAACTTCTCTAACTTTATTGTTAATAAAGTTAGAGAATCGCGCGACTGATGGATGCAGTTGTCTAAATCTCACAAACAGGATGCACTCTGCATTTAAATAATGATAGACTGGTTTAATTTGCATACGAGTACTTTATATGTAAAACTACTAAAAGACGAGAAAGTTTAATTCGTAGAAAAGCAAACAAAAAAAAAAAAAAAAAGAGGAAAGAAAAATGAATACCGCGAATTGTCGCTATCATAATTTTCAATGGCGCTATATTAATGGACGGAAGCGACTTCAGAAACATATTGGCAAACAATAGATCATAAGCTGACGTTACGCGGCTATCTGGCCATATGTTTCTGTAAAAATCAACAGAAATTAATTGATTTTTAAAATTAATTCCGACTGGAAAAACTCATTTATTAATGAAATATTATTATGTTAACGAAGTGAAACCATTTTTACACCATTAAAGTCGTAAATTAAGCTTACGTGTGACGAAATCAATAATAGATGGCGCTTATACACAATTTAGTTTTGCATAAATTGTGCAGGGAATTTATATAAATTTTAGGAATTTCAATTAACTTAGNAGAATTAAATATGTTATATTTAATTTAAAGTAATTTTGTAATGATAAGTGGGTTTTTACTTACTTGTATTATAAGATAAGTGAAAAATATTAGCTTAACGTAAAGTAAAACTTTATTCTCTTTTTGTAATAAAAGAAATATATAAACATATTTGTAATAATTATCTATATATGTATTGTGCATTTACGTCAACATAGAGGAGAAACAGCACATTTATTGTAGAGGAGAAACGCACATACGTTTATCTATACGCGTACACAACAAACTACATATAACACGTATTGTGTTGTATTACGTGTGCGTATATGTATTGCGTTGGTGCAGTATATCGTACATACGGGTGCTATACGCATATATGTTGTTATATACGTGTAGTAAACACAAAAAAATATAACACATCTTACACACTATACATATAACACATTGCCAGGACATCAAGAGCTTGTACAGATCTGGTGGATAGAGCTGGTCCCTTTTTCCAGGTATTTTGAACAAATAAAATACGTAATGAATGTTTACTTATTAGTAAAAAGCAGTTTTAAAAGATTTTTTTATTAATTAGCCAAATTACTAATTAAACTTATGCGATTTCAAAAAAAATGCTCGTGTATTTTAATGAGGAAATTTTCGTAAATTGTTCTAAATTAATTAATGTAATAAATAAATAAATAAACAAATAAAAACAAATGTTTCAATCTATTTTTAAAAAAGTTTCCTTCTCAAAGAATTTTGGCTACAAACCAGTAAACACGCGGGAAACTTTTGTAACATGTTAACATTTTTAAACAAGCCTACGCCCCCGCTTTTAACATTCTTTACCCTTACAAAAATATCAATCAAACCGGCGATGTATGATAATGTTAAACATTCCTCTTAACAGTAAGCATTTAGGAGTAAAGCTCAGATAAAGGTGGACGTCTCGCAGTGATGCATTATGGTGCACGTTAGCGTTACGTGTCAGTTGAGAACGGTGATTGGATTAGTGGAACGTCAACTGTGCGAGTTATAACAGTAATAAAAAGGATTGATCTTTGACCTCTTATAGGGCTAAGATCTACCTGACACCGAATGTCTAGGCGAAGTAGAACGAGTTTTTATTCCTCTGTAACATG